GAAACGTCAGCTTTCCTGCTCCTCTGATGCTGCTTGGCCTGCTGTGTTCATCCAGCTCTACACCTTGTTATCTCAGATTCTCCAGCATCAGCAGTTCCTACTATCTCTGAAATTGATACATATTGGAGCAAATTGTTTGATGTGTTGAAAACTATCCTACCAAAGTTATTTTTCTCCTATATACTGCAGCGTGTCTGGAGGAGAATTGTTCGATTTTCTGGCTGAGAAAGAGTCCTTGACCGAAGAGGAGGCCACTGAATTTCTCAAACAGATTCTCAATGGCGTTTACTACCTACATTCCAAGTGCATTGCCCATTTTGACCTCAAGGTAAAACTAATGTCTGAAGTTGATGAACTTTTGTTATAGCTCCTTAATATAGAACGGAATTAATTTTATGCAATTTTTATGACAAACTGTGTGGTCAGGCTGGAATCACAAAGAATCACTTGCATTTTCTTGTTGTTGAGGACAATATGCTAGATAAGTAAGGTATTTATGTTAGGACTCAATTGATAAAGGTTAGCAGGAAAATCAACAAACTGCAAAATTATAAATATTTTGTAAAGTCTATTTTTCTGCTCTTTACATTTCCAAATATTATAGAAGTAAATGGTTCATGGTTTTGTTTAAGTTGGTCTTTTGATTTACTTCTCTCACTGCAAGGCACAGCAGTTTCCTGTCACTCACTCTAGGTTGATATTTCCACACCAGCAAATGGTGTGCAGGGAACCAGGGTGTACCATATAAAGGCCTGAAAAATCTCAGTTCCCAATTAATCCCTACATTACTTATTTATAATAATGTGGAGGTGCTGGGATTGGACTGGGGTGGTCAAGATCAGAAATCAGATGACACCAGGTTGTAGTCCAACAGGGTTTATTTGAAATTACAAGCTTTCAGAGTGTAGCCCCTTTGTCAGGTGAAGTAAGAGAGAAGCACACAGACACAGAATTTATTAGCAGAGAAATCAACGGGCAGAGAGATCGAAAGATCATACAAATGATATGAGTGGTGTGTCAACAAGTGGAATGATAGGTCTCTGCAGATGACATCAGATGTTTTCTTCTTTTGGATGCATGGTGAAGAATTACTCAAATGACTATATAGCGATATCAACAAGTTGCATCCCACCATCAGACTTGACATGGACAACTGTTCAGAATCGGTCTCATTCTTGGACAAATGCATCTCCATCAAGGGCGGACATACCTCAGTACCTCACTCTACCGCGAGCCCACAGATAACCTCATGATACTGCACTTCTGTAGCTTCCACCCTAAACATGTTAAAGAAGCCATCCCCTGCGCATATACAGAATCTGCGCAGAAGAGGAGGAGCACGACAAATACCTAAAGATTTTGAAGGAGACCTTCATAAGAATGGTATATGATGCTCAACTGATCGATCACCAGTTCTGACATGCCACAGCGTAAAGCTGCAACAACCTCCTCAGAAGACAGGCACAGGATACGACCGATAGGGTACCCTTCATCACCCGGTACTTCCCCGGAGTGGAGAAACTACGGCATGTTCTTTACAGCCTTCAGTATGTAATCGACAATGATAAGCATCTTGCCAAGATCATCCCTACACCCCCACTTCTCACCTTCAAACAACCGCCAAACCTTAAACAGCCAATGGTTCGCAGCAAATTACCCAGCCTTCAGGACAACATCGACCACAACACCACACAACCCTGCCACAGGTACTGCTGCAAGACATGCTAGATCATCGACATGGATACATGGGAACACCACACACCACATACACGGCGGATACTCTTGTGACTCAGCCAATGTTGTCTATCTTATATGCTGCAGGCAAAGATACCCCGAGGCATGGTATATTGGCGAGACCTTGCAGACGCTATGCCAACAGACGAATGGACACTGCACAACAATCACCAGACAGGAATGTTCCCTCCCAGTAGGGGAGCACTTCAGCGGTCAAGGACATTCAGCCTCCGATCTTTGGGTAAGCATCCTCCAAGGCGGCCTTTGAGATACACAACAATGCAGAATCACTGAGCAGATAACCAAGTTCTATACCCATGAAATAGTCTGAATCGTGATCTTGGATTCATGTCATGCTACGTGTGACCCCACCATACTGTTCTGTATATGTAAAATCTTCCTTACTGTCCTGTTTTGACACCACCACCTGGATAAATTGTTATGAATACTCTACCTTAGTTTGTACAGTTTTGGATTGCTTATTACTTTGGTTAGACCCTTGGCATGCGACTCTTATACTTATCATGTTGTTCCAGTCATTTGGTTCGTACCCAGCACCACCTTATTTTTAATTTTTTGTAATTATCTCCCTGCCTCATTTAATCGGATTCTGGGTCATCCCTTTGCTTGTTATTCAGCTGCTGACACTTTACTCACACCTTCTGACAGGCTTGATCACTGGCAGAGATCTATTATTCAGCCTGTCATATCTCCACTCACACCATTTGTATGATCTTTTGATCTCTCTGCCTATAAATTCTATGCCTGTGTGCTTCTCACTTCACCTGATGAAGGTGCAACGCTCCAAAAGCTTGTGATTTCAAATAAACCTGTTGGACTATAACATGGTGTTGTCTGATTTCTGACTATTTAAAATAAGAAGGCAGATTTGTAGTCAAACGCAGTCTTTTTGGTTTTAAAATTTATTATTTAGGGTTGGGCTCAGCTACTTTCTAGGAATGCACTTAAGTTGCACTGAAAGACCTCAAAGAACAAAAACTCATGTGAATTCCAAATAAAGCAGAAAGTATCTTTGAATATCAAACTCTTTATTTTAATCTTTTTCAAGGTATAGATTTTTGCGCTATAGTCTTCAGAAAATACTTTCCATAAATAAGGTAGAAGTTCCACAGAATAAATGTTTAACCAGCTGTAGAAGTTGGATGAATATAAGCAGAGCCTTTTTACTATGGATAATTTTCTCCAGTCTGTCACAAATATCAGGAACAGTTGAATTTTAACCTAACCACTTCCCCATTAGCCCCATGCTCCGGGCTCTGTCCATTAATAATGTAATTTAACATGAAAGAACATAATGCGGGAATTTGGGTGGCTCAGGTTAGCACTCCATCCTCAACAGCACTAAGGACCCGGGTTCAATTCCATCCCTGGGCGACTGTCTGTGTGGAGTTAGCACATTCTCCCCGTGTCTGCGTGGGTTCCCTCCAGGTGCTCTGGTTTCCTCCCACAGTCCAAAGATGTGCAGGCTAGGTGGATTGGCCGTGCTAAATTGCCCATAGTGTTCTCAGATATAAAGGTTAGGTGTGTTAGCCATGGGAAACACAGGGTTGCAGGGATAGGGTAGCACGGTGGGTCTGGGTGGGATGCTCTTCAGAGGGTCAGTGTGGACTTGTTGGGCCAAAGTAGTCTGTTCCCACGCTGTAGGAATTCTATAGTTCTATAGATTCTAATGCCTGAAATAATGCTTACACAACTGTGGTAAGATCCTGCACATTCACCTCAGGTTTGGGTTTAAATTCAGCTAATGGGATGGAAGTCACATCCTTTTTGATGTATGTAATCAAAGTAGAATAAGTTTATAATGGTCTTAACATTTTTTTTACTAGTGTAATTCACAGCACAAATCTGCTCATAATTTAGAATTCAGTCTTCTGAAAATGTCATCAATGTAACAATTCATATTACTTTAAAAAATAAAGTTCCACTAGTGAAGCAATACATTCTGTTTAATATTGTTGATTTGAGGGAGTATAGTGCAAGTTTTACTCTGCTTCTGATAGTGGCCAAAGAGTGCCAGTTTAATAATGCATATTTGGAAATGGATAAGAAAAAGAGAATCATAATTCATTTTCAGGAAAAGTGACCTACTTAGTCGTCTGTTCACCGTAACAATCAGTGTCTGTGTTCACCCCTTCATATAAGGAGCGAGTATTAAACATAATCCTATTCCCATATGCTTTTATCTGCATTCATCTATCCAGTCTAATCTAAATATTGACGTTATTGGCCTTAGGCACAACTTTGAAAGTGAGTTCCACAAACTTGCCATTTTCATTGTAAACAACATTCGCCTGTTCTTTTATTTTAAATCACTCAGACATAATCTTGTATTTGTAACCTTTAGGTTCTTAATCCCCATAATAATTACATTTTGTACCTATCTTTTATATGTTGTGGAGGCGGGGGGGAAACGGTAAAAGTGTTTCCTCAAAGCTGTGGCAGCAAGTAGATATACTACTTCTCTAGTGAAAGAAGGAAATTAGGAAGGACTTTTCCCACAAACGGCAGTGAAAATCTGAAAGGTCATGACTGCGGAGTCAATTGAAATGTTTGAGATTGTAATTGATAGTTTTGTTTTAGTAGGCAGGGATATTGATTAAAAACAAAGACCAATAAATGGAGTTGTTACAGCCAGCAGCCATTGAATGACAGAACAAATAAGCTCGAAAGGCAGATTGGGCTATTCCTGTTCTAAAGTTCATATAATCGCTGGCACAGAAGGAGAGCAAAAATTCTTAATTACGGAGTTCCTACCTTTAATATTTGTGAAGTGGTCAAGTACTATGTGATGAGATGTTTCATGATTAAATATTCAGGAATGTGCAAAGCAGGATTGGCATCCCCGTATTCTATCAGTTAGTGCATCTGGAATTGTTGCATTAATGTTGTTTCTGTTCAAAATGATTCTTTTTTCCATCTTTACAGTCAAATATATCATGATAGGTCATGGTAGCTTGCTAGGTTCATATCTGACCATTCAGTATTGTTCCCACTGAATGATTTTAATTGAGACAGAGAAAACAGTTTTGTTTGTTTTTATTGGATCTTTGCAACAATATTTAATTAGAATTCGTTTTGTATTCTTTTTAAATCCTATGTAAAGTCAACACATTTTTAAACGAATAGTTCCATCCTCCTATTTCACCATTTTAGTAGAATTAAGTTGATTTCTTTGTCTTAACCAATGAGAATGTGAAGTGATTGGCTGGTCGCATTTGATAATGATAATATATTTAAGCCTCTTGCAGGTTTTGTTCTTGGACTATTTTGATCTGTTTTTACTTGCATTATTCACCATTCAACTAGCATAAAACCTTTCTCCCTGACTCTTGTTCCAAATTGCAAAACCCAAAAACAAATCCAACTTGATCATGCTGTAGCAAAGTCAAAATTCAGCCACCATTCACCATCCCATAAGAACTTCAGACTGCATGAAACTGTTTTGCTATAAATGGTGCAAATTCAGAGTTGGGTGGACATACTGTTTGAAAGAAAACCATAGAATGCAGGAACAGAAGTAGACTATTCAGCCCATCAAGTTCGTACCACCGTTCAATGAGATCATGGCTGATCAATGGTCCTCAATTCACTTTTCCTGCCTTTTTCCGCTTGACCCTTGATTCCTTTGCTGATTAAAAATCTGTTGATCTCAGCCTTATAAATGACCCAGCCTCAAGAGCCCTCTGCAGTAAAGAATTCCACAGATTGATTATCCTCTGAGAGAAGAAATTGTTCCTTATCCCTGCTCTAATTGGGTGTCCCTTACTTTGAGATTATGTCCTCAGATCCTAGACTCTGACAAGTGATTGCAACCTTTCCGCACCTATCCTCCCAAGCTCCATAAAAATCTTGTATGTTTCAATGAGGTTACCTCTCATTCTTCTAAATCCCCAATAAGTACAAGCCCAACCTACAATAACTTTTTAGAACCTGAATACCACCTTCTATGTCCTTTACTCACACCAAATCCCAGGTCCTGTCATGTCATGAGCTGCTTTCAGCACAACCAACCATTTTCACTTACTTAAGGTCACCATTATCAGCTTTTCTTTCTTCCTAGTATATTATCATCCATTCCTCTGTTTGTCTAACTGCCATTCTCCATCTCTGGGTTCCATCTCCATCTGTCTGCTCACACCTCATACCCTCCCTCCCTCCCCGTCCCTCTCTGTGTCTCCATCCCCTGCACCTTGCCCCCCACCCCCAACACCTCCACCACTATGTCGATCTTGAAATATGAATTTTGTTTTCTGTCCACAGATATTGCCAGACCTCCTGAGTTTCTCCAGCAATTTATGTTCTTGTTCTAACCCACTCAACCTCTCCTCCTAAGAAAATCCCTCAATATCCAGGAACAACTGAATGATCTTTCTGTGGACTCCTTCCAATGCCAGTATATCTTTCCTTAGATAAGGGGATCAAAACTGTTCACAGTATTGTAGGTCTGGTCTAATTAGTGCCTTGTATAATTTAAACAAGACTTCCCTTTTTTTTATACTCCATTCCCTTTGAAATAAAGGCAAACATTCCATTTGCCTTCCATACTACCTGTTGAACTTTATGCAAGCTTTTTGTGATTTATTATGAGGATTCCCTATTTCTTGCTGCTGCAGCTTTTTCAATCTTTTCCACTTAAATAATATTTAGTTCTTTAATTCTTCCTGCAAAAGGGCATAACCCTACATTCCCTATGTAATATATTTGCCAGGTGTCCGCCCACTTGCTTAAGCTGTCTGTATCCCTTTGTAGACATTTTATATCATCCTCCCTACTTGCCTTCCCATCTATTTTTGTGTCGTGGCTACAGTGCAAAGACTTCCATCATCCAAATCATTAAATATATTTTAAATAATTGTGACTTCAGCACTAATCCCAGTGGCATAAAATTGCCAACAGTGTAAAAATTGCCTGGTGTTCCTAACCCCAAGTCTTCTCTCCTGCTTTCTGTGCAAACTAAACGTTTTGTTAATTTTCCTTTTCCATTACCCCAATGCCCAACTTCACTTTTAACATTTGGCACTTGTTTCCACTTCAACTTGCCACCCAAACTTGGTCCTTTTTTATATTAAAATAAGTAAAATAAATAAAATAAATACTACTTGGCTTAGTTCTTTTTGCTTATTTTATGTATGAGCCAATCAATTTGGCGCGGCATGGTAGCACAGTGGTTAATTGGGTTCAATTCCACCCTCGGACAACTGTCTGTGTGGAGTTTGCACATTCTCCCCATGTCTACGTGGATTTCCTCTGGGTGCTCCGGTTTCCTCCCACAGTCCAAACATGTGCAGGTTAGGTGGATTGGCCATGCTAAATTGCCCGTAGTGTTCAGGGATGTGTAGCTCAGGTGGGTTATAGGGGAATGTGTCTGGGTGGGATGCTCTGAGGGTCAGTGTGGACTTGTTGGGCCAAAGGGCCTGTTTGTGCACTGTAGGGATTCTATTCTATGTTCAATCAGAACTCAGCTGTATTTTGGGATAGTAGGAACTGCCGATGCTGGAGAATCTGATATAACAGGGTGTAGAGCTGGATTAACCCAGCAGGCCAAGCAGCATCAGAGGAGCAGGAAAGCTGACGTTTCGGGTTTGGACCCTTCTTCAGAATCATTTCTGTGGCCTGCTGTGTTCATCCAGCACTACACCTTGTTATCTCAGCTGTATTTTGGGCTGTTTTGTAAAACATGAAAACTCCACTTGTCTGATGTTTTTCTAAGTTGTGCTTTGTAAGTTGTTCAGTTTCACAGTTTTTATTTCACATATCAATCAATTTGTGGTAATTTTGCTGATGACAGCAAAAAACTGAGCCCATGTAGAAAAGTGCAGGTGCAAGAATATAATGGCAGGTGACTGAGCAATGGGTATAGTAGTGTGTGTTTTTAAGTTATGTTGCTGGAGAATCGAACATACGCTTTATTAGACTGATGTGTGTTTAAAAGGATATTGTGCACATTTGTTTGTGTGCTTTTTGAATTGCAGCCAAATCACCTAAATCAATAAGGAACTGTAGCTCTGGCAATGTTTGTTTTTCCATTAGCCACATGATGCATTATACCATCAAACATCAAGGAAGTATCAGCCTTGTGTTTTATCACTTCTGCTTTGGACTCTACAAATTGCCGAGGGAACGAAGAAGTGGTTATTTTAACCATCCGAGAGTTAAATTTATCTAGCTATCTTAACCATCTTTTATCTGCATCATATGTTTCGTGGTATCATTGCTGCATAGTAAATCTAGTAAGGAAAAAATATTTCAGATTTTTTTTAGAAGTTTGCTGTAAATGGTTTTGAATTGACAGAGATCTTGCTTCATGGGAGAAAATGCATCCTTACTGCAGCAGTTATGAATTTGTACCATCCAGGAAATGTGCAATAATCTAAAGCACTAAAATGTGGTGACCAGAACAATATACAATATTCCAAATGCAGCCTAACTAAAGTTCTAAACAGCTGCAACATGACTTGCCATTTCCTGCATACTTCCCTCCTGTATTAGACCTTCCAAAATGCATCACCTCTCATTTGTTTGAATTAAATTCCACCTGCCATTTCTCTGCCCAAGCCTCCAGCCTGTCTATATCCTGCTGTACAATCCTCCACAATATCCTGCAGTTCCCCCAATTTTTGTTATCTGCAAACTTACTAATCAGACCACCTACATTCTCCTAGAAATCCTAAAACAACAGGAATCCCAGCACTGATTCCTGCAGAACACCAGGTTACAGATCTCCAGTTAGAAAATACCCTTCCACCACTACTGTCTGTCTTCTATGTCTCAGCAGCAGCAGCCATCAGGCAACAAGAAAGTCAACCCTCCCAAGCAGAGGACTGCCAAGCCAAACGGTATGCTTCCACCTGCAATGACTGAAACATTAACTAAACATGGGACAAATTTGGACCTCCGAAATATTGGTTGTTTCAATATAATCTTCAACAATGTACCTTTTAGTAAAATATAGTACAGGAACAAATAACTTGATGAAGATCTACAATCTAACAAAAATATATCTTTCTCTTTCAAATCCTTATTAACCAAATAATAACAGTTAATCTGTTCTGCTGTTTAATCATGGGTGATGTATTTGATCTACACCAAGTGCATTTACATGTATTTTCGTAAGCATTTTGTGTGTTTTCTCCTTTCAATCTCTTCGGAGCTTTGGGGTCTTCCGTGGAATTGTGAATATTTGGCAAACCAAACAGTGAAATGCTTTACATGCATATGAATCCTTGACGCAACTGCAGGAGTAGTAGTGCTCACTTTAGTCCTTTAGATTATTTTTGCACATTTCCTAGGTGGTATTAATTCATAACTGCTGCATTAAGGATATATTTTTTCCCATGGTGCAAGCTTACTATTAACTCAAAATCAATAACCGTTTACTTTCAGAAAAAATCACTTTTTTTTTTGCTTTTAAAAATTTACTATGCCGCAATACTGTCATGAAATTTTCAATAGAACAGATTAAAGATGGCTAAAAAAGCCACAGATGGATGTAGAGGCTTTGAAGAGGGTACAGAAAATGTTTACTAGGATGTTGGAGGGTATTAGCTATGAGGAGAAGTTGGAAAAACTTAGTTTGTTTTCACTTGAATGTTGGAGGCTGGGGTGGGGGTGACCTGATCAGACACTTACAAAATTATGAGATGCATGGAAGGTTGGAGCCTTTTTCCCAGGATAAAAATGTCAATTACTAGGGAACATAGGTTTGAGGTACAAGGGAGAAAGTTTAAAGGAGATGTAAGAGGCAATTTTTTTTACATAGAGGGTGATAAGTGCCTGAATGTGCCGACAGAGGAGGTGGTAGAAGCAGATGCGCAGCAATGTTTAAAAGACATCTTGACGGATACGTGAACAGGCAGGGAATGGAAGGAAACTGACCACATAGAGGCAAAAGTTTTTTTAGTTTAGAAAGGTGTCATGTGTTGGCACAGGCTTGGTGAGCTGAAGGGTCTGTTCCTGTATGCTTTTTGTTTTTTGTTGTTCTTTGAGGTGCTTTATGTGGATGCTGGATGAGGATTGAATTTGCTTTAATACCACCCTCCCTACATATTCCAAAGTTTGTGGTAATACTTAAATAGCCCTTTTTTGTGTGAGTATAGTGGATTGAGTGACATAGTAGAGACCTGCTGCTGCCATCACTAGAACCATTCAAAGGAGCATTTACCACATATAGTGCCAGAAATACAAGGAGTGGAGACATCTGCAAGAAAAACCTCAATGCAACCTTTATATACATTAATAAACCAGATCACTACTTATAACCAAATAGAAGTAGCAATTGCATTGCTTTTCTGAGAGTTATAAAAAAATTGTCTCCAGCACAAAGCAAACTATTTTAAAAAGCCATATTAGTCAGTTGATAATTGTAATGAACAATTTATTCAAACTTTCCGTTCACATTTGAATAAACTGTTAGACTTGGAATGCGGTAGTTTTACGTAGTTTTAATTGTCTTGTGTTTTTTTTTATTCTGCTTGTGTTTTGCTTCATAAATGGAAATGAGTTAATGTTTGAATTCCTTCCACAATCTCTTCCTCTCTGCAGCCTGAAAATATTATGCTGCTCGATAAAAAGTCACCAAAACCTCGGATTAAGATTATTGACTTTGGCTTGGCTCATGAAATAGATTTTGGGAATGAATTTAAAAACATCTTTGGAACTCCGGAGTTTGTTGGTAGGTATTCTTCAAGACATTTCTGAATTCAGCTTGGTTATTTGCAGTGTTGAAGTTGATTTTTCATTTGTTGTAAAGTGATTTTCTTCTACATTTTGTGGAAGTGAATGTACATTCATTTTGTGAAATCACTGTATAGTTTTATCACATATTTGCAGGAAGAATATATTCCATCATTATGTATGAACTGAGAAGAAGCTGCTGATTAGAGATCAGAATAATTTCACTTAAAATTACGACCTGAAGTTTAACTGGATTGGTTTGATAACAAATGCCTACTTTTTTTCTTTGCAGCTCATAGAGAGCTGCGCTGGATTTTATGTAGGAAGGGCTGGGCTCTGTCTTCCCTAATTGCTGCCCAGAATACAGAGATGAGCAAAGCCCTACCAATATCAATCATTCTGTCTTGGATGGAATTTTTTACACATTTGTGGGACAAAGGATGCTCAATTTATTATTCTGACATGCTGTTATACATCCTGTATTTGTCAGGCTGTACGTGCCTGTTTTTCTCCATTCTGCCTGTCATGTGGTGACTTAATCAAATTTGTTGAATTGTACTTTCATTTGGAGGTAGATGTGAGCATAAACACTTATCCCCATTGCTTGTTAAAATCCCAATAATAAACACCAAAGACAGTAGAAATTATACTTGCTCTTATACTGTTGTTGAAAACCATCTCTTCACATAAAGTTCGGAAAGAAGAAAATATTTTAGCAAATTGATCAAAATGACAGTGAGAGAGGCCTGCAATCTATTTGCCATTGCACTTATGTGGCTCTAGGCAAATGAAGTGGGCTGAGGGTAAAGGAGCAGCACACACAGTATGTTTATTGCCTGCATTTAATGAATTATTGTGACTTTAATTTCTTTCCTGGCTGGAGCTAGTCTAATGAGGGTGTAGAGGACATACCCTCACATTGTTCTTTAGTTCCAAGCAGTAGTTAGGTTTAATTGGGATCAAGATTGTGAGAGTCATGGAACATCTAACAAAAATTTTTAAAAAGCTGTTACATAAGCATTTTTTTTTCAAAAAGCCTTCATACTTTCGGGCGTCAAGGGTGTTAATTGCATGTTATTTGAATTGAGGTGTATGCTCATGGTGAGTTGTTAACTGGTGATTCACTTAAATTCTGATTAAAAGAACAAACTCCATCTGTGGGTTTTGGTTCAGGAGGTATATACCTATAGTGTGTAGCACTAAACCTGGAAGTGTGGAAAGATTGACCCCAGTTCTACCTTTCACCAGCTGCTTTCTACCATATAACAAAAGTTGGTCTGAATTTTCTGTGCCTTTGTTAAGGTTGGGTCTTGCAGTTCAAATAAATTATGTAAAGAGCTGTCTTAATAGCTTAGTTGGTATGTGGGCTAGCCAATGTAGAAGTGATCCAGGAAAGTGCCAGGTTTCAACTTAATCTGTATCATGTTGGCTGATTTTATTTGCGGTGGGTGAGGGAGCATTCTATGTGGCTTTCATGTCCGCAAGTTTGGGAGGAAAAAAAAGGCAGTGTTTGAGGACAGAAGATTTCCATGGTTGACTGGCTTACTGTAACCCCTCCTTAGACTTGCTCATGGATAGCAGCCAGTAGACAAGATACTGTTTATTGTTTGTTAAAAATCCTCTGAAGCAATTGAGACATGATGTATATTTTGGTAAGAAACAGCGGTCACACACGTGAAAAGAAAAAAATTCTAAATAAAGTAGGGAAGCAGTAGGATGTGGAGGTACAGATACTTCACCAAAATAAATGACACAGATATTAAGGTCATTTTATCAAAAACAAAGAACTGAAACACTTGGTTTAATTTCTGGAGGGATAGAATTCAAATGCATAGAAGAAATGATAAACTGAAACTTAAATGGAGTCTTGATAAGACCACATTTGGAGTACAGTGAACAGCCTGGGCATCCTTTTTAAAAAAGCATAAATTAGAAAGAATGGTGACAACAACAATTGCAACTTTTAATAAAAACAGTTGATAGGACCTGACAGTTGAGAGGACAGCTCTATGAAAAGGAAAATTGCACTCGTTCTCAAGCTAGGGTGGCAGGAAAGAAAGCGAGATATAGAATCCATGTTATTGATTGATGTAAGATAGTTCAACCCTGCCAGCTGAATCAGAAAATGGGAAATAACAATGATGGGGGTCTATGTAAAATTTAAAATGGAAAATAAATCCTGTTGACTATAGCATATAATATTTTGGATCTTCTGAATTTTGTTTTGTTTTGAAGCTCCAGAAATCGTCAACTATGAACCCCTTGGTCTAGAGGCTGATATGTGGTGAGTGAAGACAAACTGTATGATAAGTTAAACTTTTGGATGGCTTTTTAATCTAGTTGCAGAAACATATATAAGCACTGTTCTTCCATGTGTTTCAGGAGTATTGGTGTCATAACCTACATTCTGTAAGTATTACATTTGTAAATAGATGTTCCTTTATCAGAGTTATAAATGTATTGTTATGATGGCCAAAAAAAATTTTATTCTAGTGCCAGCACAAGTATCACAATTGACAATGCCATAATGTCAGCATTCTGGATGCTTGAAATTACGTTCATTATTTCTCAAGAAATTGTTTTATGAAGTGTGTGGATCATTGAAATTCTCAAAAGATGCACCCAAACTTGTGATTAAATACTGGAGAATTCTTCCTTTTATGTAATTGTTTTAAGAGCTAAATCAACAGAGATGCTCCTGGTATAATTAAGTTTTCAGACAATTGTAATTCCTTAAAAATGAGATGAGCACTGGAGACCTTGGGTAACATAGCAAAGATAGCGATCCAGCATTACTTTCGATTAAGATACAGATTGAGATCCCATTTAGAATTGATTTTTCTTTTCTTGATGCATTTTTACTGTGCTGTTTGAGAACTGGAGAAAAGAAAGGACACAGTGGAAAGGCCATTTGCTGTCTGTACCTGAAGTATGGAAACCTATACAAGTTACTCTATTGGAGGCCCCTTTGTGCTGGTGACAAAAAGCAATACATTATATTACTGAAATATGTTGGAATATTTACAATTGGATGACTAATTAGAATCTGCATTACATAGCAATATTTGTTTGTATTGCACCTTTTAATGTAAAAGTTTCAGGTAGTGGAGGTGAGGATAGAATTGAGCCTCTTCACAGGAATTGAGATTATGGTCAGGGGAGGGGTAATCAAGTGTTCGACCAGAGATGAATATTGAGGGTGAAGGTGAGCTAAAACGTTTCCATGGAGCAAAGTTACAACTGTTGGAGGTGAAGACACTGAAAAACACTTGTGCAAACTCTCAGAAAAGTGGACTATCTGGACAGAAGACCTGTAGCACAAGAATGGAGTTGGATTTGGAGAGAGGCACAAGGAATTTGAAGGCCAAGCATTGGATGGTGTTAGGCCAATGAAAACTTTCACAGCTCAAAAATAATTCTAATGCACTTAAAAAAACCTCTTAAAATACAAAAATGTTGCATGTAAAAACATAATTCACGATAAAATATATTGTGTTGTACATCTTCTCTTGAATGGTGAGTTGATTAGAGCAATGAGTGGCTAAGATGAGCAAACTAAAGAAGTCTCAGGTTTGGTTCCCAGGTTTATGTTAATCATGAAGAAGGAATGGGAATACTAAGAATGTTGCTATTAGCTTAAGTGCCATTAATTTGTAAATTTGTCACTGGTTCTCACTGCTGATTTATTTATTCAGCAATCCTTGCAGGACGTTGCCAAAGAGTGACCATCTGGTGAAATCTGGTACTCCCCACGGTTGGGCATTGTTCCTACACTTGCTGTCTAGACTTAGAAAAGTGAAGAATTGTTTCTTGGGCAAGATACTAAAGTGTCCCATAGTTGTGAACTCTGTGCTCCTGCAAGGAATGAGAAATGAATGCTTTCAGGAAAGTGATCAACAGCAAGAGATATACAGGACAAACAAATGTACTTGTCTTTACATTTGTTTTGAGAATTTGTCTGTACTGTTGGAGTGTTTGTGTAATTTAAAAGAAATGATCGATAACAATATAGTTTTCTAATGTTGGTTTATTCAAATGAACTTAGAAATCTGGCATTCTGATTTGAAGTGCATTGGAAACAGTACAAACATGGAGCAAAATATAAAACACTTGCAGTATAAATTGTGCCATGTTTTTCAATGACTAAGCAAGATGTGGGAGTACAAGAACCAGACCAGATGGAATAATTCTTATAAAAGCTGACAGTTGGTTTCATAATTAAAAGCACAGTTAATTTCTTGAGAGAGTATTAAAAAAATTTAGACTGTGTTAGCTCAGTTGGCTGGATGACTGATTTACAGCGTAGAGTGATATCAACAGTGTGGTCTTAATTCTTGCACCAACTGAGGTTAGCATAAAGGATTCCCTTCCTCAGCCTCTCCCCTTGCCTGAGGAGTGGTAACCCTCAGCTTAAACCGCCATCAGTCATCTCTTGAATGAGAGAGCAGCCCTATTGTCTGGTAAGACTATGGCAAATTTACCTATTACTAAAAATGTCCATTTTTTGTGCTAATAATTTGGAATTTTGTCGTGGATACAGAGTTAAAATGTTAATGCCAGAATCGAAGCCTTTACATAGAGCAATGCAGATCGTCTCTTGTTTGAAGTCTTATATAGTTAGATTCAGTACTTTATTATTGCCTTTATAAGAAAAAGATGTGCAGTTTAATTTTAGCGATGTGTTTTATGTACAGCAGTTGCCACATACATTACATGTTCTGAAATGTTCGTGATTATCTTTTAATTAGCTTGAGTGGTGCATCACCTTTCTTGGGTGACACTAAACAAGAAACATTGGCCAATGTTTCAGCTGTGAATTACGAATTCGATGAAGAATTTTTCAAGAACACCAGTGGCTTGGCAAAAGATTTTATCCGAAAACTGCTTGTGAAAGATCCTAAGTATGCTTTCAATACACTTTTAATTACTTTATTGTATTGTATTTACTACAGTTACTTTATTGTATTTTAAATTGTGGATACACTCTAAACTTATAAGCATATAGGTATTAAAGATGCTAATTGCTCAGTTGTGTGATGGTCTTGTAAGTAAGTTAATTACTCATTGTATGGTACTGGTGGAACATAGGTGTGTTCTAAGATACCTGATGTCAGTTGGGCAAAGGTCCATGCTGCATTTGGCATCAGGATCTCCAGACTTCAGAGGGAATATTAGTCCAGGTTTCTGCTTCTGATTTTAGTTTCAGAATCTGAGTGTGGGTTGGGTGATCAGATCAGTTGTAATGCTCCTGTGATTAAAGTCTGTTGGTATGTATTGTCTAGTCTATAATTCTAATGTGTTTCCAATATAATTCTAACATAAAATGATTTGCCCTGAATCATGAACACCTGCCAGCTCTAGAAGAAGAGAAAAAATAGCTTGGGATTGGTGTTTTTTTTTTCCTCTTACAAATCAAAGTATTATAATAATCTCATTTACATCACAGAAGCAATGATTTGGAACAAGACTGATAAATTTTGCTTAGCAATTTTTTTTTATTGAGTTATCTTTCGAACTTAATGTAGTAATTGGATAATATTAACTTAATGAGTTTTTTTGGGACCTGTCATTCTATCAATGAAAACATGAAAGGTGACAGTTGGGCTTTTGATAAGGTCTTACATGGCTACTCATTAAGATGGTAAGAGCCCATGGGATTCGGGGCATTTTGGCAAATTCAATCCAAAATTGGCTTAATGGTGGAAGCAGAAAGTGATGGTCGAAGGGTATGACTGGATGCCTATGTCCAATGGCGTACTACAGGGTTCGGTGCTGGGTTACTATTTGTTTTGTACATTAATGGTCTAGACATGAATGGAGGAGTTGTGATAGTAAGTTTGCAAATAACATGAAAATTGGTGGTGTAGTAAAAAGTAAGGAACGAAGCCTTAGACTACTGTACGATATAGATGGGAAGAATAGTGGCAAATGGAATTTAACCCTGAAAAGTCAGAGGTGATCTATTTCAGGAGGATTAACAAGGCAAGGAAGGATGCATTGAATAAAAGAACCCTTAAGAAATATAGAGGATCATAACTACCTTGTTGTACATGTCCTTAATCATTGAAGCCAGCAGGACAGGTAGATAAGATGATTAAGAAGGCATCTGATTACTTGCCTTTATCAAGCAAGACATTGAATACAAGAACAAAGAAGTAATGGTGAAGATGTATGTCATGTGAGAACACAGCTGGTGTACAATGTGCAGTTCTGATCACCACACTATAGCAAAGATGCGCTTGCACTAAAGAGGGTGAAAAAGATATTCACCAGGATGTTACCTGATCTGGAGTTTTTCAGTAATGAAGAGACTAGATGGGATGTGGTTGTTTTCCTTAGAGCAGAGAAGGCTGAGAGGAATCTGGTTGATAAAATTTTCTCCTTAGTAGAGGGGTCAATATTACCACTTTTTGAGGTAAGAAGCTGGAGCTTTAGAGGGGATTTGAGGAATACTTCTTTCACCTAGGGGATTATGGAAGCCACTTCCTCAAAGGATGGTAGAGGCAGGAACCCTTGAGACATCTCAGAACTATTTGGATGAGCATTTGAAATGCTGTAGCACAGGATTGTGCTATCCCACAGGATTGTGGGCCAAGTGCTGGGAAATAAGATTGGAATAGTTGGATATTTGATGACTGGTGCAGGCTCAATGGGCCAAAGCACCCCCTTCTGTGTAGTAAAAACTCTGATTTTCTAAATCTGACATCAAGGAGTTGAATTCTTCTGCTTGGTAATTTCAGCAAAATGAAATCGTATTGATCATTCACTGCTGGCTTTCTTGCTAGCATTATTACATACAGGACTGTTTCTTCCCCATGTATAAATTACCATATTTTATGGCTGTCATTTTAGTGAAAATCCTGCAATTCACTTCACGACTCCTAACACGCCAAAAGTAAATGATGCATAAAAGCATTGGATGTAGGAGCAGAAGTAGGCCATTCAGCCCATTGATCTGATGATCCTCAACTCCACTTTCAAGCTTTATCCATAGAACCTTGAATCCCTTAATTAACAAAAATTGTCTATCTCAGCCCTGAATATGCTTCACAGCCCAGAGAGACAAAAAGAGAATCCTCCTCATCTTTGTCTTAAAAGGACAGGCACTTACAATACGATTATGTCCTCAGTCGTAGACCGTCTCACAAGGGAAAGCACACTCTCCGCATCTATCCTGTCAACCCCATAAAAATTTTGTAAGTTTCATTAAGGTCTCTTCTCTTTCTATGAAACTCCAATGAATACTGAACCTCTCCTCCTAAGACAGTCCCTCCATACCCAGTATCAACATAGTGAACCTTCTCTGGATTACTTCCAATGCCAGTACATCTTCCTTTAGATAAGGGGAACTGTTCACAGTATTCCAGTTATGGTCTTGTCAGTGCCTTGTACAGTTTTATCAAGACTTACCCTATTGTCCATTCTTTTTGAAATAACAGCCAACAATCCATTTGGCTTCTGTATTATCTGTTGAACTTGGATTCTAACTTTTTGTGATTCATGCACAAGGACTCCCAAATCCCTCCGTGCCAGTAGCTTTCTTCAGTCTTTTCCCACTTAAATAATATTTAGCTCTTCTACTCTTCCTACCTCACATCATTGACATTATATCTGCCAGATTTTCTGCCACTCACTTAATTTGTCCATATCCTTCTGTAGGCTCTTTGTATTATCCTCACCACTTGACTTCCCACCTATTTTTTTTTCTTATCTGCTCCATTTCTGATCTCTGGTGCTGCACCAATTACAGGTTGCCATCTGAAAATGCTGACTTTATCCCAATTGCCCAGTTAGATTAGATTAGTTAGCTTATCTTCAATTCATGCAAATATGCTACCTAAATCCATGGGCCCTTATTAAGTAGTCCTATATACGTAACTTTCATACATTTTATTTTGCTACACTTGAAACCTTTCTTGAAGGCACTGAACACAACTTTGTTTATGTTCATGAACTACAGCTGAAGAAACTCTAGCTGAACTGATTTCCTGTTTGAGTTAGCATCTGGAGATTGCATGATGTGAATCTTAGATGTGAAGTGTTGTATTCAAGCCAAGCTATAGATTTACCGTAGAAATAGAAATTGGTATTTTCAACCTCTCCACTCTCCTCATTAAAAAAGAAAAAAATAAATAAATGGTTTCAATAGTTAATCCATAATAGAGTGAACAAAAATTATATCCTGTTGACCTTTGTCCTATTTTTCAGACCATTTTTTTGCATCGTGGAGTGATTATTGCTGCACTTAACGTGACTTCAGTAAAACAAATGAAAGGAGCATCAATGCAGCCTGGAAAGCTATAGACTGAGATGTTAGTGTTTGTAAAAAGGTTTTCTATGTTTGATTACTGCACTGATTTAAATGTTATATATTTTGCTTTTGTAATATGCCTTTAATAGGAAGAGAATGACTATTCAAGATAGTTTGCAGCATCCATGGATCAAGGTATGCCTATGTATCTTTATTTTAAACTTCGTTATAAAGTTATAATTGAAGAAATGTGCAAACCTCTTGTGTCTTTTCATGAATAAATTGTGGCACCTACATTTAAAGAAATGTGTTTGCAGTTGGCTTGCTTGGATCCATTATCTTTATCACACCTGAGGAAGTGGCAGTGCTCCGAAAGCTTATGTGTTCAAATAAACCTGTTGGACTATAACCTGATATTGTGTGATTTTTGACCTTATACAACCTCAACATAACTGTTCTGGAGTACTGTGTCCAGTCTGGCTGCCTGTTACAGGAAGAATGTTATGCTGGAGAAGGTTCAGAAGAGATTTATCAGGATGTTGCCGGGAATAGAGGGGTTGAGTTATAAGGAGAGGCTGGATAGACTGGGACTTCTTTCACTGGAACATAGGAGATCGAGAGGTGACCTTTATAGAAGTTTATAAAATCGTGATGGGTATAGATAAGGTGAATGGCAGGTGTCTTTACCCAAGGGTGGGGATTTCAAGACTAAGGGACAGTAAGAGGCGAAAGATTTAAAAAGACATGAGGGACAATTTTTCTTGAGAGTAATTCATGTGTGGAATGAGCTTTCAGAGGAAGTGGGTGATGCGGGTACAGTAACAACATATAAAAGATAAATATATTTAGGTAAGTACACAATTAAGAAATGTTTGGAGGGATATGGGCCAAGCGCAGGCCGGTGGGAGTACTTTAGTTTTGGATAATGGTCTATTTCCGTGCTCGATGACTCTATGACTGTCATCAGAGGATGCGTATTCAAAGCCCAGCTACAAGAGTGAAGGCAAGGAACTTGCATGGATTGTGCTGGATCAACGGAGGAATAGCATGGGCAGTTGTACCACTGTCCACCATGCCCACAGCTTTGCTATTCCAACTGTGAAAAGATAATTTCAATCTCTACCCAGTTGGTACAGTGCAGGAATAACATTGCTGACATGTGTATTTAAAATCAATTAATGGGAGGTTTGATGCCTCACAGCACCAGGGACCCGGGTTCAATTCCACCCTCTGGCGACTGTCTGTGTGGAGTTTGCACATTCTCCCCGTGTCTGTGTGGGTTTCCTCCGGGTGCTCCGGTTTCCTTCCACAGTCCAAAGATGTGCAGGCTAGGTGGATTGACCATGCTAAATTGCCCGTAGCATTCAGGGATGTGTAGATTGGGTGGGTTATGGGGGGATGCTCTGAGAGTTGGTGTGGACTTGTTGGGCCGAAGGGCCTGTTTCCACACTGGAGGGATTCTATGATGATTCTATGACTGTAATTTGATTTTTGTAACATTTTCAGCCGAAAGATAGTCAGCAGGCTCTCAGCAGAAAAGCGTCAGCTGTAAATATGGAAAAGTTTAAAAAGTTTGCAGCCCGAAGGAAATGGAAGGTATGTGGAATTGTAACTGACATTCAATGTTTACCTGACTGCATTAGGTAGTTTTTGTAATCAGTTCAAGGTTTGCAGGCATCAGAGTTCAAAATTAATTAACAAAAGAATCTGAGTCAGTTCATTACGCCATTATTTTGGGGTCGGGAGGGGGAACAATAAAAGTTTGAATGAGGGAAAATATTTAAAATGTGTCTCTATGGGCGCAGGAGGAGAAGTTGTTTCAGAAGTTAATATTTGTATTGTAAGGGAACAGACAATATTGAACATTTCTGCACCTCTTTTAGAATGAGAGGCTTAACAACTTGAATCCAACTGATGCTTTTGCTATTCGTGCTGTCACTTTTAATAATTTTCCTTGCTCCAAATAAAAAGTGTAGCTATAAGAACTGCATGGGTCCTTCTCATACTTGGCTCTTGTGGAACATTTCTTGATTCAGTCCTACTCAGACCCACAAACACAACTCTTCCTCTTGTTCACCCTCACTTGGTCTTTCTGACACTTCGATTCCCTTCCTTGACTTCTCTATTTCCATTTCTGAGGACAGGCTGAACACTGATATCAATTACAAACCTAGTTATACCCACCAATACCTTGACCACACTATTTCATACTCATCATATAAGGACACCATTCCATTCTCCCAATTTCCCTTTCTCTGTCATGTTTGCTCAAATTGGACCGCCTTATGCGGGGATGCTTTTGACCTGTGATCCATTGTCCTCAACCGAGGATCCCACCCCTTAGTAGCAAACAGGGCCCTCAGTCATATCCTACCCATTTGCTGCACTTCTGCTCTTGGTCCTTCCTATCCCTCCCAGAACAGTGATAGGGTTCTCCTTATCCACAATTATCACCCCACCAACCTCCACAGTCAAAGAATCATCCTCCACTAATTCCCCTGCTTCCAGCAGGATGCCACAGACAAACACATTTTCTAATCAACTGCACTGTCAGCATTCCACAGGGATCATTCTTTTCGTGACACTCTTTTACTTGCATGTCTTTCTGTCTAGTCTCCTATATTTGCTGTATTCAAGACCAAACTCCGAATGCAGATGACCACGTTATAGAACACTTCCAGTCTGCCATTCGGTACACCATCTTGCTGTCATGCTGATATTTCTGTCTTGAACCTGGTGCTGTGCTCCAGCAAAGTCCAAACAATTTGGAGGTATTGCACCTTCCAATTAAGCACTTCATAACCTTCAGGACTCAACATGAAATTCCACGTTTTCTTTTACCATCACCTCATCCCTAATTGATGTCTCATTTTCTGTAGAGGTGAGCCATTTAAAAACTTTAACACCTACTATTTACCCCATCTCTTCATCCAACTCTCTTCTTTGCTACCATTAGAATTCCATCCCTATTCAGTTCCAAAGAAGGGTCATATTGGACTTGAAATGTTACATCCATCTCTCTTTCTGCAGATGCTGCCAAACCTACTGAGTTTCTACAACAGTTTCTCTTTTTATTTCAGATTTCCAACACTGCGGTATTTTGTTTTATTCATAGTTTTGAAGTGTGAAAGCTGTTGTGGTGCATTCCCCTTCAGGCAGCTTAACTATCCTCAAAAAATGACAGGGGTACTATTGATAGAAATATTTAACATAATATGGGACTTGGGAATGTGGATTAGGACAACTTTTTATGCTCTAAGTTTGAAATCAAGAGTTCATAGTTGCAAATTAAGAACAGCCCAAGAAAATGGGATATTCAAATCAAATCTCTTTAACAAAAAGTTAGAGAACAATGGGGAGACAAGTAATATGTAAAACCAGGAGCTCTGATGGAGTTTATCTGAGGAGTAGTACAGTCCAAGCCAACAAATAGGATTCAGTTTTAAGTGTGGAAATACATCAAAGTATTCTTGAGTAAGTTTACCATGTGCTACCACTGCTGGAAAATTGATATAATAGTGGCGGATGCATGTGTAGTGGCCATCACTAAGAAGGTTCTGGGGAAACTGAAAGGGTTAAATCACCTGGATGAAGTGGACTATAGCCCAGGATTCTGAAGGAAATAGCTAAAGCAGACTGTAGAATCATTGGTGGTGATCTTTCAGGAGTCACTAGAGTCAGGGAAGGCCCCACAGGACTGGAAACAGGAAGGCAAATGCAATATTGGCATTTATTTTGAGAGGACTTGAATATAAAAGCAGGGATGTACTATGAGGCTTTATAAGGCTCTGGTCAGGCCACATTTGGAGTATTGCGTGCAGTTTTGGACCCCATATCTCAGGAAGGATGTACTGGCCTTGGAGCAAGTTCAGAGGAGGTTCATAAGAATGGTCCCAGGAATTGAAAACTTAACATATGAGGAACATTTGAGAACTCTGGAACTATACTCATTGGAGTTTAGAAGGATGAGGGGGGATCTAATTGAAACTTTCAGAATACTGAATGGCCTGGACAGAGTGGATGTTGGGAAGATGCTTCCATTGGTAGGAGAGACTAGGACCCGAGGGCACAGCCTAAGACTAAAGGAAAGACCTTTTAGAACGGAGAGAAGGAGAAACTACTTTAGCCAGAGAGTGGTGAATCTATGGAATTCACTGCCACAGAAGGCTGTGGAGACCAGGTCATTGAATACATTTAAGACTGAGATAGATAGGTTCTTGATTATCAAGGGTTACGGGGAGAAAGCAGGAGAATGGGGTTGAGAAACCTTTCAGTTATGATTGAATGGCGGAGCAGACTCTGGTCGAATGGCCTAATTTCTGCTCCTTTGTCTTATGGTTTTATGGAAATGGCTAGTGTAATGCCCCTGTTTAAGAAGGGAGGGAGGCTGAAGATGGGAAATTATAAGCTGGTTAGTCTGACTTCAGTCGTTGGTAAGATTTTAGGGTTCATTATTAAGGCTGAAATTATGGAGTACTTGGAAGTACATGGTAAAATAGGGCTGAGTCAGCACAGCTTCGAGAAGAGGTCACGCCTGATCAATCTGTTAGAATTCTTCAAGGAAGTAATGAGCAAGTTGGCATGAGAGAAGAGTGGATTTGGAATTCCAGAAGGCCTTTGATGTGCTGTATAGGAGGCTGCTAAATAGGATAAGAGCCCATGGTATTTGAGGCGAGGTACTGGCATGAATAGAAAATTGGACGACTGGTAGAGGGCAGAGAGTGGCGATAAAGAGGTCTTTTTCAGGATGGCAGCCAGTGACTGGTGGAGTTCCGCAGGCATCCATCTTGGGACCACAACAGTTCACTTTTATTGTATTAGTGATCTGGACGCTGGAAGTGAGGACATTGTTGCTAAGTTTCCAGGTGACACAAAGATAGGTTGAGGAATAGGCGGTGTTGAGGAAGCGGGGAGGCTGCAGAAGGACTTGGGACAGCTAGGAGAGTGGGCAAAGAAGTGGCAGTTGGAATACAATGCGGGAAAGTGTGAGACTATGCGCTTTGATAGGAAGAATAAAGGTGTAGATTATTTTCTAAATGGGGAAAGGCTTTGGAAATCTGAAGTACAAAGTGACTTAGTAGTCCGAGTTGAGGATTCTCTAAAGGTTAACATGCGGATTCAGTTTGCAGTTTCAAAGGAAAATACGTTGATAGCATCATTTCGAGAGGGCTAGAATACAAGAGCAGCCATGTACTGCTGGAGCTGTATAACGCTGTGGTCAGACTGCACTTGGAATATTGTGAGCAGTTTTGGGCCACAAATAAGAAAGGATGTGCTGGTCTTGGAGGGGGTCCGGAGCAGGTTTACAAGAATGATCCTGGCAATGAAGCGCTAGTCATGTGAGGAGCCGTTGAGGTCTCTGGATTTGTACTCGATGGAATTTAGAAGGATGAAGATAAATCTCATTGAAACTTGCAGAATACTAAGAGGCCTGGATAGTAAAAATGGAGAAGAAGTTTCCACTAGTCGAAGAGGCTAGGACCTGAGGGCACAGCCTCAAAACGAACTTGGTGCCACAAAAGCAGGCCAAATCATTGAGTGTCTTTAAGACAGAGGTAGGTAGGATGTTGATTAGTAAGGGGATCCAAGGTTATGGGGAGAAGGCAGGAGAATGAAGTTGAGAAACATATCAGCCATGATTGAATAGTGGAGCAGACCCAATGGCTGAATGGCCTAATTCTGCTCCTACATGTTATGGCCTTATGGCCTTTCATCGAGGGAACAATTTCATTTCTGGAGAATAAATATCTTTTAGTACTTGCTCGATTAAGAATTATGATCAGTTGTAAGATTGGTAAAATATTACCTCAGAAGAAACCCCAGATGGCTGTATTGCATTCTGCCTAATGATCATTGAGTTTCTGATTGTACTTTTAATGTTATGCATAAGCACACACTGGGACTGTACTCACTTGGGTATTAGTAGGAGTTGTTAACATGAAAACTGCAACTGCATGTACAAATTCTTTTTCCTTTTCGTCAAATCTGGGCAAATTAGAAACCAAAGTCTCAGACATGGGATGACATCATTAATTAGTGTTATTTGTTCATGGAATGTGTGTGTATAAGGCTAGACCAGCACTTTTTCCACCCCTAATTGACCTGGTGGTGAGCTGCCTCTGGAACTACTGCAGTCCTTGGGGTGTCAGGGCACACTCAGTGCTGTTCAGAATGGAGTTTGAGGATATTGGCCCAACAAACAGTGAAGGAATGGCAATATAATTCCATGTTAGGATAGTGAGTGGCTTGGAGGGGAATTTGCAGGTGGTGGTGTTCCCATCTATCTGCTGCTCTTGTCGTTCTTGGGGATAGATGTAAAAAGTTTGAAAGGTGCTGTCAGGAGCTTTAGTGAGCTACTGTAAGGCATCTTATAGATGGTACAAACAAGGTAACAATCAAGCGGCTGCTTTGTCCTGGATGGTAGCAAGCTGTTTGAGTGTTGTTGGAGCAGCAACAATTGTATCAACTAGTAGTGTTGGAAATCTAATTGGGAGAACATCATTATGAAGAAGCATAGATATCAGATAATAAAATGACCAAAGTACTTTTCGATTAATGATCAATTTCTCGTTTACCCACAGCCAAAAAAAAAGTCCTCATACCCTGGAATGTAGTGTTTTATACATATACATAGAGAGAAAACATTCGTTATTTTAGGAGATGCAGGTGACCAGATGATTTAATTATGAAACTTGTACAGCTTTCACCCTCTTCCCAGTTTGGATTAACCTTAGTTTTTAATCTCTATCAGCAAAATGTAATACTGCCTCAATCAATCAATCTAGTTTATTATTGATTCTCTGTATCATTACTGGGTGATTTGCAAGCTATTAAATGTTTTGAGAATTAAATGTTTCTGTTCAAATGTAACTTATTTTGTTAAAATATATTTTCTTTAGCAATCAGTACGGTTAATATCATTGTGCCAACGGCTATCAAGATCATTTCTGTCTCGAAGCAATATGAGTGTTGCTAGGAGTGAGGACACTTTGGTAAGTATTGGAACAACATTCCATTTGGCAGCTGAAGATTTGTTTCCATTCTTAAGGATGAGAAATTGGAGGAGTTGAGTGTGTTTGTTCATATAAATACATGTTGGCCATGAGTTTCCTTTCTGGAAATCCGACTGTGTTACATCCACTACTTCACCTTTATCTATCCTGCTTGTTACCTTCTCAAAGAATGTTTCAGGCATGGTTGCCCTTCTTTCTTGCTGTGATATTGACTCCATTCAGCAGGCTATTTTCAGTGATCACATTGTGCGTGTGCACTTTGCTGAGGATAAACAGCAGTTAGAAGAGGGAAAGAAGCGTGTCTGCTGTAGCAATTCTTAAAATCCTCCTCTTTGACCAAATTCTTCAACTCAGCATTGATTGTTTTGTCTAGTTACACTTCCAAGAATTACCTTGGGATTTTACATGATATACATGTTGATGTTCTTAGACCAGTTGATGTGGCCAACTATTACCCTGGCTTATACCAACACTGAGCAGAATTGTTTTGAAGGTCTTCCTTTCTGTAAGGTATACTGCTCACTGTATTTGCTTGCTAATCAATCTATGGAGCTCTTGAATTTTGACTTTAGCATAACTCCAAAGAGCTAAAGCTGGAAAGAGATCTGTCATCATCTCTTAAAATTCACTGGTTTTAAAATTAAAAGCTGGATTTCCGGAGTAATCAGAATAATTGGCAGAGGATGTTATCAATGTGTAAATTATGCTATTTTTGAAAATAGCATAAATAGTCTTTCCTCCTTTCATCCATATGTTCTGATGTCTTTGACCAGCAAATTGTTTGTTGGTTTCCAAGAGTGACAAGTTTTATTTTTCTTCTTATAAGGATGAAGAGGATTCATTTGTAATGAAAGCAATTATTCATGCCATCAATGATGATAATGTTCCTGGTCTACAGCACCTCCTTGGATCCCTTGCCAATTATGACATTAACCAACCTAACAAGGTAATTTCTGTGCATCGTTTGGTATGTTTTCTTAATGGCTTGAGAATTATTTCCTTCCTAGATTTCAGAATAGCGGGTACCTATAATGTTCATCGCCACATAATCTACTTATTTTAAAAACAGGAAGAATATATGTAATGATAAAGCTAATTAGCTAAATTCATCATGTTACAGTAAATGCTACATAAATTATTTCACCTTTTGCATTTCCATTGCAAATAATCATGATTCCTGTAGTGGTTATTGTAGGTCATTTCATGTTATTAAGCAATCAAATTATGCAAAATGCTATAGCCTGTTTGATAAATTAACATAAAGCACAAGAAAAATTTCATATTAATGACTGAGGAAACTGTTTGCTATTGGATGTCAATTTTCTGTTGGATTGTTAGTGTTAAGCCGTTTAGTAGATAGTCCTCCATGTAATCAAATGAGTCCTCACAATATTGTTGTATTCAATTCAATCTAACAAAATCACTAATAAAAGTAGAGATAACAAGGTGTAGAGCTGGATGAACACAGCAGGCCAAGCAGCGTCAGAGGAGCAGGAAGGCTGACATTTCGGGCCTAGACCCTTCTTC